TTTTCTACCTTGCTTCATCCTCAAATGGGGCTTCCCAATGTGGATGCTGCATGCAGAGTCTCTGAAATGCATTTACATAACCTTAGCATGTGGTATGTCCCCTTTCATTATGCATCATATTGATGCTTAGGTTCTATTTCTTAACTATCTGATTTAGCTTTCATGATATCAGGGGTGGGGTAGGAATGTGATTTGGAGGTAAAGTATTTATCATATATATGCTCATTCCCAATTTAATCATCTTGTTTCACCTTTCATAGATCAAGCCAACAATATCTGAAGTAAACAGGACATGGATAAAATATCATCCAATACATTATTTAGAGATTACAAACTGAAAATTCAACAACTTGTAAAAATCTTCATTTGAAAATATTCAAATAATTACGGTAGAAACTTTTACATTAAGATTGACTGGTGGAAAGCCCAAATTGACAAATTTTTCTGGAGGGTAAAATTGAGTTGATATCTGAAGATTTGAAATTCTCTTGCACATATTTAATGAGAGCAATTTCTACTTCTCCATGAATCAGGAGTATAATTCATTCATTAGAAGTAACTGTATAATGGACTTCGTTGAGAGTACCATTTCCGCATATGCCCGGGGATTGAAAATATAGTATAAAGAAAAACCCAAACAAAAATATGTTGGGACAAAATAATTTTATTATCGTGGATTGTTACACCACGAACACTTACTTATATAAACATGTTATTAGAAACAAGGAATTTTCTTGGTATGGCATATGTTTATGCTAATTCTGAAAAGGAAAAGGCTGACAATAATACTGGGTGATGTTTAGTAGAAGCAGAGGCGGATCCAGGATTTTGAGACCATGAGTGCACCACTGGCTTTAACGTGGTGCTTGTAAATAGTGTCAAAAAATAATTTGATTCATAATGTCAATTGATGTGAGAACTTTTAGTATTTTATGACTTATTATCAATTTTAAATATTATTTAAAGAGATAATTTATACACTTCTTAAACAACTCAGTTCTAACCATCAAAATTCAAAACAAAGAGGGGAAATAAAATGCTAATGACAATTTAATACTGTAAAATTTGAAACTTGTGAAAATTTTAGTGCAAAAAGAAGCACAAAAAATATTACAAAAATCTTAACATATGACTAATTCTTTATATGTAAATTACTTACAAAAATAAACTAAAATATTCCTTAAGAAACTATACTAACAATTCAAAATTCTTTGAGGTTAAAGCAATTAAAAACTTAGAAGCAAAAAGGGTAAATAGAAAATTACTTGAGAGATGTGATTGAGGTTGCCATAAATTGGTATTCGGGGGAATAAAACACTGTAGGACGAGAAAAAATTAAAGATTAAAAAAAAAAAAAAGAAAACTGTAGAATGAGATAGTCCAAGAGGAATCGATCCTTTGTCCTTGGATAAGTAAAACAACCATCTAGCCGGTGCACCACTTATCCTTGTAGTGCATGGGTTCCTAAGAATTATATTAGACCATTTATGTAAATTATATACATGAAAAAATTAATTTGCCGGAAGACCATGGGTTCACCGGAACCCAAATTTATAGGGTGGATCCGCCCCTGAGTAGAAGGATGTATTTGTTCCCCCAATAAAGAGAGAGGGAGGGAGGGAGAGGGAGAGGGAGAGGGAGAGGAAGAGAGGGAGAGAGATGGAGCGAGGGAGAGGGAGAAACAAGTTGAAGGACAAGGTGCAGAAAAGGAAGAGATTCAAATAGTTAAATTGTGGGTTCTGTGACTGAGGCCGGATAGCTGTAAGACTTTTGTGCATTTATTATGTGACGCTGGCAATAATGGTTCTCTGAATACAAAGAATGGGTGGTACCTTTAAGGGCTTTATTTATGTAATTTTGAGTTTCCCGTTATATCTTATTGTCGTGTATTCTTATGCAATGGTTTTCATTCAAATATGATGTGTTGGCTGCGATACAGGGGAATTGAGATAACAGAAGCATTGCGACTACAGATGGAAGTTCAGAAGCGTCTGCATGAACAGCTTGAGGTATGATTTCTTGCTTTGAAGTAAAAAGTACTTACAGTTTGATACTTTGATTGGTGGTCATTGCTTACATTCAACAAGGAACTGTATCTGTCACATGAGGAGAATGTCTGTCTGCCTGTGATGTTTTAGTTGGTTGCTTGTGGCCTTTCTGATCTTCCAATCGTGATAAACAGTTCTGAAAATAAGGAGAAGCGCAAGTCATAGTTTCTCCTTTTGTATGTTCTGTTTAATTTATGATGCAAGCAATTCCCTTAGGTTTCTCTTCCTCCTTGTGGAAGACTATTGAGATATAAGCAGTCAATCTTGAGTGCCTCATTTTTGTTGTTTTTAAAAAAAAGTAAATCTTGAGTTCCTCATAGTTCAGTACTGGGATACGAATCCTCTCTATCATAGGTAATAGAATAGCGTTCATTGATAATATGAATAGCCAACTCGTCCGGTCTATTATTTGATGGTCTTGTGGTAGCTAAAGATGCATGTGCGTTATTTATGATGTTATGTGCACTTATGGTTGTCATGTCCTTTTGCAGATTCAAAGAAATCTGCAGCTGCGTATAGAAGAACAAGGGCGATACCTCCAGGAGATGTTTGAGAAGCAGTGCAAGTCAATGCCTGGCGTGGACTTGGCTAAAGGCTCATCATCCACAGCAGATGATGCCTTTGCACAATTGTCAGATGCCGTTCAAAGTTCCTCCTGCAAAAATGATCCTGGAGTGTCGCAGGTTGATATTTCTAAAGAGGTTGATGAGAAGCAGAAAAAGCGGGAAAAAGAAGTTGGAGAGCCTGAGACAAATATAACCAGCACATTTGATTCACCACCTTCAAAGCGCTCTAAATTGGATGAATAAGCCTCCCTAGGTCACAAAACCTTTGGTAGGATAGTTATATTTTGATGCTTGGAACATCAAATTCTTGAGTAGAACAAGGTTTGGCTCGCGAAGGAGCTAAAAATGCCATGGTGTTCTTTTCATGGCAATACTTCGATGAACCATGGTGTATCCTCTCATTTGACACAGATCATAAAGAAATATCGAACTTTTGATGTTAGATTTGTCAATATGTGTCATTCTAGACTCTAGAGCTACCAAAGGTAGAACGAGGAACTGGTGGTCCTCCTGATGTCTATTTCTTGTTCAGTAAGGTTTGAGGTACCAAGATTCTTCCCCCCATCATTTGAAAATTAATGTAGGTCGTTTGAGTTGTCCGGTTACAGTGTATGTATCAGGAATGGAAGTAGTTCTTATTGCTTGGATTCTCATCAGTCGCATTATGTAGTCTTTGTTAAAGATAATGGTTTTATCATGTTGAAGCAGGCTTAGGAATTCCAGAGTAGTGAGTATTTTTCCTAAAAATTGAAAGGGACTTTCGAAAAGATTGCAGCTATTGCGAAGCAACTTAATCATATAACAACAGTTTTAAATTCTCTGACTGATACTACTGATAAAACATTTACAAAATCAGATCAGTTAATTACATGTAAGTTTTAAGGGACAAATTCAAAAATAGTCAGATTTACAAGTGGTCGTTCAAAAATATCCCAGTTTCAAAAGTAATCGAAATTTAGCCACTTTTCATATAAAGATAAATCTGAGCGAAAACACTGTTCAAAACTCGGAAAATACGCCAGTATATTATGCTGGAGTTCCAGCATAAGTATACTTGAACTCCAACATAAGTACACTAGAACTCCAGCATAATATACTGGAGTTCCAGCAAAGTATACCGGTCCAGTATAATATGCTGGAAGTTCATATACAAGTGCTCGAATCTTCAGTATATTATGCTGGAACTTTCTGTGTGTTGGAGTTCCAGCATAATATGCTGGAAGTTCATATACAGGTGCACCGAACTCCAGTATATTATGCTGGACCGGTCTCTATTGCAGCAAAATAGTGGCTATTTTTTATTGACTTGATAAACGTTGGCTATTTTTGAATGACCAGTCCGAAAACTGGCTAGACCGTGCTATTTTTACAAGTTTTAATGATAAGCATTAGCAGTAGTCTGGCGTTACTTAAAGGAAAAGTGACACTATGTAGTTGCTCTCAAAATAATAGTCGAATAAATGTATATATTTTTTTGTATATATACATTACAAAAGTTATAGTACATAAGTTTTATACACTTTTTCGGCTATCGATTGTATATGGTTTTTGATGCGGACTAAAAGTGAAAAAAACCTTTGCAACAAATTGAATTTAACTAATATACACTTGACAATGTTAAAAAGATTTTACTATCAGGATATTTAAAAATCACTTATAAGTAACTTTATATCGCAAACATGTTATTCGCAACCTGTAAAATATGGTAAATGACCCATTACAATGCACTTAGGTGTATGTGCAACTGGTTCAGATCATGATCTAGCACAAATACAAAAGCAAGAGAAAGACTTTTACAAGTAAAATTACACTGATATTTAAATACAAATTACTACTAATAAGTAAATATCCAGATATAAATGGTTGGATACCTTTGTGTCAAAGCTATGTACAGCCTAACCATTCATCATACACTACTACCATCTAATTAGTACTCCGCATAAATAGAGAATACTTTAAAAAAGAACAATTTTATGATCACTACTACCATCTTATTAGGATAAAAAATATCGAGAACAAATTAAAAAGAAATTTTTAAAAAATGAGTCTGCATGTGTAGAGAAATAGCATGTAGAAGAAGCAAGCGTCAAGCTGTCCCTAGTTCCAAGTAACGTCTCTTCTAATCAAACCAATGACCCTTCAACTATCAGTTGGTGAGAAATCTGAACCTCCCACCAAAAAGTAGAACATTTTTTCTCCTTAATATACTCTCTTCTACTCATTCCCTTTCATTGCTCATTCCCCCAATTTGCCTTAGTGGCATTTAACACAATGGCTGGTTCTCATTCTCGCAGTGAACTTCATGTTTTCCACACTGGGGATGATGTAATATTCTTAATTATTTCTTCTTAAAATATACTACTACTCATTTTCTTTTGGTTTCTAACACGATTTAGATCATTTTTATATCAGCAGCGACCTCAGCCAGCAGAAACCAGAGATCAGTCAGAAGCTCGGATGTCTTCTTTGAAGAAAATATGCAAGATTTGTGGAGACGAGATTGGAGTGAAGGAAAACGGGGACGCGTTTGTTGCTTGTAGTGAGTGTGGATTCCCAGTTTGCAGGCCATGTTATGAGTATGAGAGGAGTGAAGGCAATCAGTCTTGCCCTCACTGTCATTCTCGCTATAAGCGTCATAAAGGTGCATGCCTCTCACTTTTATTCTTTCAAAATCTTACGTGCACCCAAGTATAGATTTAGTTTTACCGCTCTATCATCAGGTTAAGTTATGAGTTTAATTTGTTTTTCTTTTTATGTAATGACTGCGTAAAAATATTTACACGATTAGTTCACTTATAAGGTAATTACATGTAATTAATATGTGCATGCATGCATGCATGGCCATCAAAACCTGTTTCATATATATGATGCATTTGATCTTGAAATGATCTGTACCTTACAATAGCTGTATTCTGCAATGTGGTTTAGGTTGTCCTAGAGTTGCAGGTGATGATGAAGATGACTTTGATCATGATGATTTTGACCAAGAATTTCAGATCAAGAATCATCATACTTCTCCCAACCACCACCACTCGGTTAGTTAATACTTATTCATTTCAACAAATCACCAACCTATTCTTTTTTCTCTTTTCTTAGTTAAATGAAACACAACATTGTCCTTTATGTATGTGTCTAACTCTCGTCCAAGTTTAAACGAATTGAATTATTACCTTCTGAATTGAATTCGAAATGATCCATTAAAATCAGGTCAAGTCGTATAAACTACACTCCTTCCGTTCCAACTTATGTGAATCTGTTTGACCGGACACAGAGTTTAAAAAAAATGAAGACTTTTGAAATTTGTGGTCCTAAACAAGTTAAAAAGGGGCACATAGTATTTTTGTGATTATAAAATCTTCTCACTAAGGGTAGAATTGGAAGTTTAAGCTAAATTATTTTCAAATTTAGAAATGGGTCATTCTTTTTGGAACGGACTAAAAAGGAAATAGGTTCACTGGAACGGAGGGAATACTTCTATTGGTCAACATGCAGCCTAAACATACAAAATCAAGTTTAGAGAGTAGGAATTATGTAAATTTGGAAGAACTAAGTTAATACTTGAAAAAAATGAATGAGCTTGCACCTTCTTTTTTTTTCTCAAAAAAGCAAAACAGGAAAAATTAGGGAATGTTGGATGATGTATTGTTAGGGGACTTGGATTATGACCCGTTATTGGACCCATCCAAAAAGACCCAACAAATTTTGAGTGACTTGGGGTTATGAACCGTTTATTGATATAAGGAATTTTTTCATTCCTATACACTATTGAAAACTGTATTATCCTAAATGTTCATGTTTAGTAAATTACCCTACCTACACAAGTTTTATTTACAAAATATATACATTCTACCTTAAAAGACTCTCAATCTATTATTAGTGTCTTCAATTAAGGGATTTAGTTCCACCCTTTTCCTTTTTTTTTTCTCCTCTTCTCTTTCCATATTTTTCAACAATCGTAAACTTAGTTTCATGATAAATCCTCACATTTCAGTAAACTTATTTGTTCATGAACTGATTGCTAAATAACTGTAAGTATTACATATATTCCACATATGCTAGCGGCATGATAATATNTTTTTAAAAAAAAAAAAAAAAAAAAAAAAAAAAAAAAAAAAAAAAAAAAAAAACTAAACAATAACCTAAATAACTATTTCTTCAAGTGTTGATTAATTTCCTTTGTTTTTTCTTCTTGTCTGCGACGAAAGTTATATTTTTTGGTTAGAATTCTGTAAATTTCAATTTCACCTTCCATCAGGATGCTTTCTAACAACTTGGATCAAGCTTCTGTAAGTTTTAAAATTTTAATACTTATCTACAACTTCGATCAAAATATATACAATCCACCTTAAAAATAAATTTCATACAACTAATTATATATTATACAATTTATCTATAATTTTCACACATTATTTTTACCCAGTTAAATACAATTAATAACATACAACTTAAATACATATTTTATACAAATATGTCTTTTGTCATAGTAAAAATAAATTTCATACAACTAATTATATATTATACAACTTATCTACAATTTCATACATTATTTCTACTCAATTATATACAACTATAATATCATACAACTTAAGTATAATTTTTATACAATGTTGTTCAACTTTCATACAATAGTTAAATAAACAAAATAAAAATATATAAACAACAGAATATAATTTTTCTACAATTTTACTACAATTTCTGCAGTATACAATATGTCATGTCGTCTTCTTCTTCTTCTTTTTCTTCGAGTTTTACTCTGAAATTCAGCCAAAACCAAGTCTAATCTTCACCAAAACCCCTCAAAATTGAGATATAAACTCCAAATCATATTCCCAATTATTTGCAACAATACCCAATCCAAACAAAAAATGATTTTTGAAAACCCAAATTCGAATTCAAAGCTTCAAAGCTTTTTAATGGCTGTCAGTGGTGGAATTGCTGCTCTCTTTTCCTTTATTTTATATTATTGAAATTAGGGATTGAGAGATAGAGAGAGACGTAGAGAGAATTCTCAATTCTTTGCAACAACATCCAATTCAAACAAAAAAATGATTTTTGAAAACCCAAATTCGAATTCAAAGCTTCAAAGCTTTTTAATGACTGTCAATGGTGGAATTGCTGCTCTCTTGTGCAAGATACGTGGGGGAGGGGGGTGAGATGTGGAAAGAGAAATGTGGGGGAGTGGAAGATATGTTAGAGTAATTTTAGGACACTAATTATTATCATTAATTCTCTTAAAATGTACATAAATGGTAATTGAGTATATAAAATGTAATTATAGTAAAACTTGAGTAGGGAGAGTAATATAGTTTTATATAGTGTATTTGATCCACTCATTTGGTAAAAATAGCACGGGCTAGCCAGTTTTCGGACTGTTAATTGAAAAATAGTTGGCGTTTGTAAAGTCATTGAAAAATAGCCACTATTTTGCTGCAACACGAAAAGTTCCAACATAATATACTGGAGATTGACTGTGTATGAACTTCCGGCATATTATGCTGGAACCAGGGGGATTCATAGGGTAAAATGTGGGGCACGTGAACCCATGGTCTTTCTTCAAAATTAAATATTTTATGTACATATTTTTTAAAATTGGTATATTATTAAGTGTTGGCACCCATGCTCCAAGAAAGTTGAATGTTGCACTTGGTTGAAAGTTGAGTTATTTATCAAAAGGAAGAGGGATCAATTCCCACTTAATACATTTTTTTCTCTTTTTTAGTAGTGCACTCATATACTAAAAATCCTAAATCCGCCTCTGGCTGGAACTACAATACACGGAAAGTTCCAGCATAATATACTGGAAATTGAAGCACATATATATGAACTTCCAGCATATTATGCTTGACTAGTATATTATGCTGGAACTCTAGTATATTATGTTGGAAGTACAATATATTATGCTGTAACTCCACTATATTATGCTGGAAGTTCACTATATATTGCTAGAATATTTTTCGGATTTTGAACAGTATTTTCATTCAGATTTATCTTTACGTAAAAAGTGGCTAAATTTCGATTGCTTTTGAAACTGTTACTATTTTTCAATTGTCACTTGTAAATGTGACTATTTTTGAATTTCACCCGCTCAAATGTGACCTAATCTGTCCATTTGCAACCTCTAACTCCATACAATATTAGAAATGAAATGAAATCAAGTGTTTGTATGTTGGCAGGAGAATGGAGACTATAATCAACAGCATCACAACGCAAATGGCGCTGCTTATAATCAATCCGTTACTGGAAGCGGTAAATCAATCTATTCTCATCCAAATAAGTAACTGTTGCACTTTATTATTTATTGGAGCATGTCAATGTGACTTTCTTCTCAATGGAAAAATTACAGTGGCAGGCAAAGATTTGGAAGATGAGCAGAAAGAAACTTATGGTGACGCAGAATGGAAGGAAAGAGTTGAGAAATGGAAGAACAGGCAAGAAAAGAGAGGTCTAGTAAGCAAATTGGGTGATGGTGGAAATGATCAAGCTGATGAAGATGATGACTATCTGTAAGTCTTTTCTTTTTCTCCAATTTATTTCTCTCCCTCTGCCTTCACAAGGTCTGCGTACACACTACCTTCCACAGACCCCAATATGTGGGATTATACCAGGTTTGTTATGGTTGTTGTTGTTGTTATTTGACCTATGTATTGTATTAGTAATAGTGGAAGATAATATTACTTCCTCCGACCCTTTTTATCTCTTACTTTAACAAACGAACTTGGTTTAAAACATTTGTTACATTAGAAAATCAAGAATGCATTAAGTTTTTTTTCTTTCTAATTCCACCCTTACTACTCCAAGTAGGCATATAATCATTCAATTACTCATTTAAGGAAGAGATAAAGTTAATTTAGTCAAGTACCCCATATAATGGTGATAATAAATGGTTGTCTTAATAGGTGCCCAAAACCAAGTTGAGAAGTTATTGGTAATGAAGACATTACATTCTTAAAGTTTGAATAGTTGCATGAATTTGAAGTCTTGCTAATTGTTGAAGTTGTATATGTAATATTACTAACAAATTGGGTCAAATACTACAATGGTCCAACATGAAAGGAGTATTTATGAATTGAAACAGATCAAGCATTAAGCATATAAAACTTGCAAAGATTTCAATGTTTTAACCATTTCAATGATTTTCAAACAGTTTGGCTGAAGCTCGGCAACCACTCTGGCGAAAAGTTCCACTTCCATCAAGCCTAATTAGTCCATATCGCATAGTCATTGTACTCAGGCTTGTAATTCTTGGATTCTTCTTCCATTTCCGGATCTTAACGCCAGCCAATGATGCTTATCCATTATGGATTATCTCTGTAATATGTGAAATATGGTTTGGTCTATCATGGATACTTGATCAGTTCCCCAAATGGTCACCCATAAACCGTGAAACTTACCTTGATCGCTTGGCATTGAGGTTTGAGCGTGAAGGCGAGCCGAATCGTTTAGCTCCAGTGGATGTGTTTGTGAGCACAGTTGATCCCCTTAAGGAGCCTCCTATTATCACTGCAAACACAGTTTTGTCGATCTTGGCTGTTGATTACCCTGTTGAGAAGGTCAGCTGTTATGTATCAGATGATGGTGCATCAATGCTGCTGTTTGATGCATTAGCAGAAACGGCGGAATTCGCAAGGAGATGGGTGCCATTTTGTAAGAAATATAACGTAGAGCCTCGAGCACCTGATTTCTACTTCAATGAAAAGATTGATTACTTGAAAGATAAAGTTCAGCCTACCTTCGTCAAGGACCGCAGAGCCATGAAGGTATCTATTAGTACTTCATTTGTCTCATTTTATATGGCTTTATCGGAGTAGACGTGTTGTCTAAATAGTTAATTTGAATTACATCGTTAAAAAGTTAGTTTAAAAGAGAATCCTATTCAAATAGTTTATTGTGAAAGTTGTAGAAATGGAATCGTGTCAAACATTTTCCGACGTCCCATAATGGAAAGTGTCATATAAATTCGGATAGAAGGAGTATCACTTGTCAGGGGTTTAAGTTTCTTTGGCTAAATCATATTTGCTGCAAATTGAAAAGTCATTATCTTGT